TTAATTAATTAATTAATTTATTTATTGGTCCTTTTATATATTTCTGTTTTTATTTCTAAATATGTCAGACTTGGTCCTCCACATATACAGTAAATATATACATAAAAAAATAGAATTCGTTGAAGTTTTGTTTTTATCCACTAGGAGGCGCAAAAACATTAAAAATAATCCACAACAGCACCACATTTATCCTYTACAGAGCCGGATGGAGCACATCTGAAAAAGTTTTTTTTTCTCCATGATTGAAATTTCTGACTCTGGAAGATTTTGATTGAAACAACAAAAGATGTATTAAAATATGCAAACACACACACACACATAATAATAATAATAATAATAATAATGACAGGGAAATTTCTAAAGAGCCGTACAGGTATAATTTAAACTTATCATTCAATTAATTAAAAATTTAGAAATTATTGACCTTTTTGCAAAAAAAAAAAAAGGTTCTTACACAATACATGAAATCTAAACTGCCTATTAACAATAATTTGAAATGTCAAATATTGTCAAATGTGGATACATTTAGATTTATTTAATAACAGTTAAAGCAATCAGTATTTGTTTTCAGCTAAAGTAAGAATAAAAAAGAGATAGGAATGGAGGAGGAGGAGGAGGAGGAGGAACCCGAGGAGGAGGAGGGGGTTTGAAGAAAAGGCAGGAGAAGGAGACCAAAAGGAAACGCAGACCTCAGACCAGCCCTGTTCACCTCACCGTCTGTCATCCGATCCTAGTGTCCGTGGACAAATCTGACTGTGGATCAGCACACAGGACCCCCTGTCCACAGTAGGAGCTCGTGTTCGTCCGTCGCCAGGTCGGCTCGCCAAGACTCCTCCACAGCAGAGCACGGCGGCGAAGGAAGGGACAAGGAGACGGCAGGGGATTCGTTGCTGATAGTGGGAAAACCACGGCGGAGTTTTAATTCACAAACCGAGGAGCGAGCAGCCAGGACTGAGCCGCCGCGCATGAGGAGTAGTATTACATTCAGCTAATTTCCAACATTTTCTATTCTTGGCGGCGGGAGTGTGCTCTCGGAGCCACATTTATAAGGAGAGCTAGCGGAATGTAATGCTAGCGAGCTGGCTAATGTTAGCTAGCTAATTAGCTCGTCAGTCAGTCGAGTCGGACGTTTGATCTTTTATTAAAATAGGTCAGTGTTCTTCGTCATTTTTGACGGTTTTTGTGAAAAGGCTACTCTTTTGTTGCTCTTTGCAGGACCTATTAATAAATGGTCATAATGCTTGCCTAAGCTAAGTTAGACAATAAACAGTGCGAGCTTTTCATGTATTGATGAAAATCAGTTCAATATTATCCGCGTCTTGTGGAGAAGCTGCTRTTATTCCGACTGCAGTCAGGCTGTGAGCCGAATCAGAACAAGAGGAGCAGACTTTTTGATTTGTGACTGTCTGTCGTCCAATGTTAATGTCGACCGACGTTGCATCTCTAATGCTTCCCGTTAATCGGGGAATAATGGACCGCGAAAGGGACATTGAGGCAGCAGCCGCCGGAGCGCACGCGACCACGGCCGCGGGGCCAGCGGCTGTCCGGGGGATGAAGCGCGGAGACCCGGAGCCTGACGCTCAGACCGCCGCTGCCCTGGCTGACCTGGCCGGTGCGGAATGCAAAAGACCAAGAATAGACGGGACCGGGAGCGTGGTTGGTGACATCGGACAGGTAATGTAAACCCAACTAATCCTCCACTCACGTTTAATTCGTTTTTATTCTCAGTGTTTTGTTGGCACCATAACAGAGCCTACTGTCTCTCTTCTTACTGTAAAACATTTGCTCCTCAGCATCACCAGTGATKTTTTGACAGGGCCCCCTTTTTCTCTCCGTCAACAAGGCATCTTTGCACTAAAGAAAGAGACATAATAATCAGAGAAATGATGGATAATTTACATGTCTTGTTGAGATCCTGGGGCCTGTGTTCTGTGAGGGAGCAGCCCCAGACAAAGGTAACATGATCCAGGCTCCATTCCTATGACAGACAGCAGCACAGCAAAGATCACAGCCATTCATCATGTCTGTCTCACACAAAGTAAGCCATTGCTTCGCCTCATGTGTTGCAGGATGCTAAATGGAAATATTTATTCATAAAGAGCATTTATTAATGACTCATCCCAAATCCTGACACATGTGCCATTAATCGCTCCGTTTCCCCCTCCTCACTGTTTCTAGGTGTTAAAAGAGAGAGGCAGACATGGATGGGGGGAGGGGTCAGCACAGTGAAAGACAAAGAACCAGGGTCTTTTTGCTGGAGGCTGAAGGAGCAAAAAGTGCTCAGGGGGGCYCTTCTTAACGCTGGTCTTCCCCTGCTTTCATGACTCGACAGCTGAGGCAGCAAAGCATCCGCAGCCGGTCCTGCCTCTCCGGACTAATCTACTGTATTACAGTAAACCAGAGGATGAGGCGCCTCTCTTTACTTACTTGTTCTTCCCGCCGGATCTGTTGCTATTTATTCCTCTCTTGTCTCTGAGCTCACAAACACACTGCACCGCACACAATTTTATTTTTGTTTTACACCTACACTCAAACGGTTTGATCGCTTCCAGTAGTACAAGGGAACACTTTAGCTGACGTCTGGCGTTTTTGTACAGGAAAACAACACTGACTAGTCTAAGGGCAGCTGAACAAGGCTTGGGGTCAGCTGTGTGTAATTGAATCCAAAGGAGTTTATAAATACTGGGTGCAGAGATGAAAAGCAACATTTAGTGAGTTTAACGGAGGATGGATGTCTAGGATGGGGAGAGGTTATAACTTGGCTGTGAAGATGATGTGGCATTGAACACTGCCATGGGCAGTGGGCTGCCCATTGATTGTTGAACATTGAGGGGAGTGGGTACAGCAGGATCATAAAGAGAGGAGAAATAATAAACAGACTGATAAATGGAAGATGAGTGAGAAAAATGATCAATAGGTGCTGACTGAGATTATGAGGCAGAGTGTACGTGAAAAAATGTTATACCAAGTAGACCTCGAGAGGAAAATACTCAGAGATGTGATTGTTGTGGGGGGGTGGTAAATAGAGGCTGGAGGCAAGGAAAGAGTGGATGGAAAGAAACCCAGAGCCATTAGCTTGCACCCACCAGGGATCGGGATAAGAGGATGAGAGGAAAAGTGATGGATGACAGGAACGGCTTCGGTCGTTGGGGAGATGAGCGAGAGCGTCTGAATAAAGATGAGTAGTTCAGTAACACTTTATGGAGGATAAATAAAAAAATAAAGTGACATTGAGGGGTTATACCGGCAATTCAGGCACGAGAGCTCGGTACAGGAAGAAGAAAATGAGTTCTGGGGCTGCAACCAGAACAGAACGCCCCCTTAATAATTAGTCCAGGCCTCCTGATGAGAGAGCCAGAGGACCACTGACCTTCCAGGCTGCCTGGAAATCAGCACTGTAATAAAATATGCGAATAGAGCATCCTCTCTTTGTGCTTTTCTGCCTCTCCTCCCCCTGCTTTGCCTCATGCAAGCTGCAGCAGACCCC